GCCGCGACTGCACTGAACCGCGCAAAGAGCGCTCCGACACCAGGAGTTGCTTCAACTGCGGATCGGCTGACCATATGAGCCGCGAGTGCTCGGAGCCGAAGAAGGCGCGCAATATTACGTGTTATAATTGCCAGGAAGAGGGACACGGATCCAGAGACTGCACGAACCCCAAGAAGCAGCGCCAAGGCGGGCCCCACAGGACCAACAATAACAGCTCTGCCGCCGACGACTGGGGATCGGGTGGCGCGACGACCACCGCTGGCAATGGCGGCGGCGCTGCCGATGACTTTGATTGGGGAACTGGCGGTGATTCGAGTGCCAACGCGAACGGTATGTCATTGTAAGCAAGTGTTGAGTCGTTTACTGATTGATTGCATCGATGGACAGGCGGTCGCAGTGGTGGCGGCGGTGGAGGTAATGAGTGTCGGCGCTGTCATACAGAGGGCCACTTCGCCAAAGACTGTCCTAACAATTCAGGCGCCGGTCCTAATGAGTGCAGGCGTTGCAAGAAAGAGGGCCACAAAGCGGCCGATTGTACTGAAGAGGTGTTGGGAGAGGACGGCAAACCCCTTCCCCCGCCCTATAGGCCGACACTCGTGGACGAGAACTCGGATGGTCTGTACGACACGACCCCCACCGGCATTAACTTCAGCCGATACGATAAGATCAATGTGAATGTGTCGGGCAAACTGGCGCCGCCGCCCATCAACGCCTTCTCCGATGTGGTGAAGAGCGCTCTCATGACGGAAGCCATCGAGAAGTGCAAGTATACCAAACCAACGCCTGTCCAGAAGTACGCCATTCCCATAATCGCTGCAAAGCGTGATCTCATGGCCTGCGCGCAGACCGGCTCTGGAAAGACAGCGGCCTTTATTTTGCCAATCCTTCAGAATCTGCTCTCAATGGAAGAGCTGCCGTCGCTCTATGGACAGGCAGTCCAGGAGCCCCTTTGCGTCATAATCTCTCCCACTCGGGAACTGGCGATCCAAATACATACAGAAGCCGTCAAGTTTGCGAAGGGAAGTATCGTTAAGCCGTGTCTCATATATGGCGGCACTTCCTCTGGCTATCAATTGGCTAACATCTCGCGCGGCGCTCACCTACTGGTGGCCACTCCGGGCCGTCTGTTGGACTTTGTATCGAAGGGAAAGGTGTCGTTCGCGAACCTAAAGTACCTGGTCTTAGACGAAGCCGACCGTATGATAGATCAGGGCTTCCTTCCAGAGGTGCGCCGAATGGTGACACACGAGACAATGCCCGACAAGACTAACCGCCAGACTCTCATGTTTT